TCTGGTAAAAGACTCGTCATAAGTATTACCCCAATACACTGTGCATATCTCGGAATGTATAAATTAATTTTTGTAACATGACCTTGCGTAGAAATTAATACACGCTTGTTGTTATTGGTGAGATCGTTGTTATTTGATTTTTCCAATGAATGACATCAAATTACACGATTAAATATATCGATACACTGGAAGCTGGTAGGAATCGAAATAGTGAGCACATATTTGCATTCGAAATTTGTCGCCGATTAGATGGGTTAGCGAGTTGAGTTATTCTTCTTGTACATCAAGTGCTACATAAGGGTGTTCATAATGGACACCGACGCCCTCCCATTAGATGGAGTGCCGACCCCACCAACCATCCCTCCAATGAGGAGGCGTCGAGTGTCCATTATGGACACCCTTATGTAGTCTCTGATGTACCTGTAGCATCACTCTAATGAGTTTGCTTAAGTTTTTCATTAAAGAGCAATTTAAATCTAAGCTCAATCTTTGGGATGCTTGAAGAGACGTTCTTCAATCATATCACGAAGAAACTGTTTTAAGAATCTTGGGCTTAGGAAAAGGCCATTTAAGTTCGAATCTAATTAAAATTTCCAATGAGCGTCAATGATCCAAACAAGCAGTCACGTCAAATTATGTAATGCACGTCAGCACGTGTGAGTTGGCCTACTAAAACAAAATGTACATGTTATCAGCACTTGTCATTCTCTTTCAACTATTATTTTAAGTGACAAAAAATTTAAATAAATGAAGGAGTGCAAAGTTACATCTTCGGGCAATACAATTTTTCATATTAAAAATTATGTTGGTAGACATCATTTCTTGCCCCTATTTAAGATTCGGGCTTTGTTCGCATAGTGTGACCGACGATTGAAACAATTTTAGAAATAAATTACGAGGACGTCGATAGATAGCATTATTTTATTTCCCTACGATGCATATTTGTTTGTATCCGATGCGATAGCCTCTGAATCAATTTCAGAGAAAATATCGTTATCTAGCTAAATATATTTTTCTTTAAAACGGATGTTTTGTTGACATTCTATGATAGTGTGAACGTGCTTAAACTTTCTTAATCAACATAACGAATCAATAATCTAATTCATTGTACTTAAATCTTTTTCTTGGACACGTAGCACGCTTTATAAATAAAAAATAAGTATAAAGAAAGCTGCCATACCAACCAAAATGGACTCTTGCCAAAAAAAAAAAAAAAACAATTTATTTGTGAGTTTATCGAAATATAATTAATTTAATTGATTGGACAATAAGAAAAGTGGAATCATAACCACACTTATTAAAGTCAAGATAACACCTCCACATAAAACAAATAAGTCCAAATGAGTTATTATTTTGAATTTATTAGTAGTGGAAAATTTTGCATTTTATTGACCCCACAATAATTTTAAATAAAATATACAGTTTAGTATAATCAAGAATTAGTTTAGTAAATTTCAGGAGTGAAGAAAACTATTTTTTTTTTTTTAACAATGATATTTAGGATAATTGCAAATAAAAGAAATATATTTCTTAATCTTTCAAGGAACTTCTTATTTATTTATGTATTTATTAAATTAAATAAGTCCTTTTCAAAAATTAGTTATGTTTTATAAGAAATATATAGATTACATTATGTAAAATTTTGTATACTATCTTCTAATTATTGATTTTTCCTATAAATGATTTTTTTGGGTATAAAATTTATAAAATGTGTTGGCCACGTTTGATACAATTTTTGGGGTCAGCAGATTGGAAATCTAAAAAAATTTATATCTTATTTTCTTAAACTCTAACATCAAATAATAAAAAAATAATTTTAGTAAGTTCGATATTGAAAAATAGATTGTAAAATACTTCATTTGACTCTTCCAACAATGTAAACATAAATACAAAATTTTAATTGATATCTTCAAATTAAAAAAAGTTGTTCAATAAATCAAACTTAAAAACAACAAATTAAAGTAAAACTTAAAAATTGTTGAGAATGTTTATGTAATTCTAATAGTACCTATCGCGAATGATTTTATTTTTTTTTTCCTTTAATGTGAGAAAGGTTCATAGAAGAGAAGAATTTACAACTATAACTAATAAAATATAAAATTTTGTGCAAAAAATGAAAATTAAAAAAAAAAATTAAATAATGCAATGAGATGATCAACTGAACTTTAATTTACAAAGAGATAGACGAATGTGAAAGAGAGAAAAATAATAATTTTTTAGATGAAAACGATATAAATAATTGAATGTTTGGAGAATAAAAAAATTGGCATGTAAAGTGTTACATAATGTAATAAAAGTAGTGTGATTTGTTATTTTCAATTGTGGATATTTTGGTCCATTAAACTATTTTCAATGGTAAATTTATAATTGTTTTAGCAAAAAACTATTTTTTATTACCATACTATAAAATGTAGTACGTAAAGAGTATATCCAGAGAATACGGTAAGTAAAGTGTAAACGTGCCATCTACAGATGATGAATTTTGTAAATTCCTTTTTATTTTTAACATATAAATGTAGCATTGCGAGCGAGGTAGTCAAGTTCTAAAATTAGTCGGCACGAATTCATTCTTTGGGAAGCAAAAATTCAGTAGAAATTTTTATTTTTCCTTGAAAACAATTTTAACAGTAATAAAATATAAAACATCGTACAATCATATTATTCTCAATTTGTCAAATATATATCATTCTCATATATACAATTAAACTGTCAATCAATCACTGATCTTCAATTCAACGTGGAAATTCCAAGCTTTCATATACAAACTTCGGACAACATAATAATAGAAGTGGATGGAACAATAGGCTGGCCTCCCATCGAGGAAAAAATACTCACTGAGTCACGACTATCTTTGACACGACGGGGTAGGCATAACTCAATCCTGTAGATTGACTTGAAATTTAATCGTAATAATGATGTTTATCAGTGAAATTTGATGTTTATTTGAATTGTGTTTTAAAAAAAAAAAATTGCTTATTCTCCTTGCGATGTGCTAACTATTATTATGTTTAGTCATTGAGCCCCTGTTTGGTACCCATTAAAATTTTCATTTTCATTCTTCTACTCATTTTCAACCACACATTCTTCATTAAAATAATATTTTCCATTACATCAATAATTTTTCCTTCTTTTTCAACCACACATTCTCCATCAATCTACTATTCCAAAATAAATTCTTCCAAAATAATATCCATCAAACACACCCTAAATGTGTATTCATTCCATTATTCTCCTTGCGATGTGCTAGGTATTATTATGTTTAGTCATTGAGCGGAGCCCCTGTTTGGTACCCATTAAAATTTTCATTCTCATTCTTCTACTCATTTTCAACCACACATTCTTCATTAAAATAATATTTTCCATTACATCAATAACTTTTCCTTCTTTTTCAACCACACATTCTCCATCAATCTACTATTCCAAAATAATATCCATCAAACACACCCGAGTTTTTGGGAATTTTAGATACGGATAGGCTCCAACTCTGAAGAAGGATCATTGATCTTTCTTTACACTTCCAACATCGGAATGAAAATTCAATTCTTGAATATGCGAATCATGGATTATTAAGAAATAGTTGCAAATCCACATCAATCTCAAGAAGGACGTGCTCTAAGATAAACCCATATTCATAGGCTCTGTCAAATTAAATATTAACACAGAAGAAAACTTCAAAAATGGCATATCATAAAATGCACATCCAGCCTCGATAATCTATACACATATGTAAGTATACAACTTTGTACATCAATTCCAAGCACTACATACTTTCGATTTTTGAACGTTCTATACAACTAAAACACCATAATGAATTTGATTTACACATCAAGTTTTGTCGACACGTGCTCCATTAGATTTACATAGTAGATGGGCCTCGTGTTGAAATTATAATGCATTGACTCAAAAGTATGTACAGAAAGAAATTGGTTCACACAAACTGTTTCTCGAGCAATATGGAATGGAACTTCTGACCCCTGAAAAAATTTCCTCGCAAATTTTCAAAATATAGCAAGACTCAAAATCCTGAATTATCTTCGCAGGAAAATCCTCTACGGGAAGAGCAGAAGTGGTTTATGCCTGAGAATTTTTACCTTGCTTTAGCAGCGAGTTTTTCATCTCTCTATATTCAAGAAGTTCCTCTAGTGCATCAGCAGTAGTCTTGGATGAAATCAGTCCAGAAGAAGCAAAATTCACAGAAGTAGACTGCCGCTCCTGTGGTGTCGAAGAAATTTCACCAGAATCCTGATTGCTGTTTTCCGGCATCTCAAGTTTGGAGTCTTGCAACAAAGTCTCTGTAACAGAGATGTCTTGGTGAAGAGATGGTGCCTTCTTCAACATTTGAACTAGAGCACCAACTGCTACATGTTGGGATTTTTTAACTGGAAAAAGGCTGCCTCTCTCACGGGGTCCAGATGGGTGCCCCGGCTGATCAAATGAACCAGGTCTGGTAATACAACAAGAGGATGTCAGTTTGTTTCACAGGCAGGATATGTTTGGCATAAAGTATTGGATAAGACTGGACCGAGCAACTATACATCCTGCCAAACATGCTAGTACAGGTTTTAAGTACTGATAGCTAACACAGTTTAGTTAAATGAAAGACTGAAATCAATTTGATGACGATGCACGCTCCTTGCTAGCAAAAGAATAGGTGAACCATATAGATGAAAACTCTCGTGAATTTAATTGGACGATAAATTTAGTTGTATCATTTGTGCAATAAAGCCACCACTACCACTCTCACGCTCTAATCCTGCAGGAACAAGCTTGAAAATCTACTTAATTCTAAGACATGCTTCGGGGTGTAACATGCAGCAAAAAATCGTTTCATACTCCATTCCTGTGCCCTCCCGCCGCAAAAAAACTACCACGAGAAAAAGACATTCTCTAACCAAAGCAGGGATGGCATCACCGTCCCCACCAGGGAATTTAATCCGCCATCCCTGTCTGGATCAGGGCGGCCTAAGGCGGGATGGGAATCCCCACAGCCCTGTTTAGTTTTTTTCCCCCATCAATTTTTTTAAAGAAAAATATAATAGAAATGGGGCAAGCTTGCATGATATTGTGGGGATTTTTTTGAATATAAACGGGGCTGGGATTATGGTCCCATCCCCGCCCCATAGACCCAATTAAGCGGGGATCCCCAACCCATTCAGGGTTGGGTCCCCGCGGGGATCAGGGCCGGCAGGTCTTTTTGCAGCACTAAGCCTTAAAGAAATGACTTCCAGATAGCTAAGGTAAATAAACTACCACAATTAGTGCACCTATTCCCATGATTAAAAGACCTGAAAGTCTTTTTAATTAAAACAAGTCTTGGAGAACTAACACATGCAAGTGAAGGATTTTCCAAGGATTGCTGAGTTATCCCAGCCTGGCAGGAAATGACATTGTAAGGAAAGCCGGAATTGAAAAGCTACAAGAGAATAGACTCGTACACAAGATAAACTTTGCTCTTGTTTTCTCTTTCGATCTGCTCATGTGACTGGCTTTACAGGTATCCAAATCTTAAGCCAGGAAATCATCAGCATAAAGAATTCGCCCAATCATTTCCACGAGGGGGATGCATGAATGAATTTTGTCTAGAAGGTAATTAAGGATTGCAAGAAAAAACAGTTATTCCAAAATTTCCGTTTGATTGCAGGTAGCTCCATTACCAACCACCACTACACTGTTATTAATTTATGTTGTATCAATCACAATCTGAATTCTAGATAATACAAAGCTAATTTAAGAACTTAATTGCATAACAAAAACACAATAAGTAGTTGTAAAATTAGCAAGAACTGTTGATGTAGGACAACTACACATTTAACTTGGCAGCATTATGCAATGAAAATGAGAATTTAGATTAATTCAATCAAAATGATTGAGGCCGAAAGGATCATGAGAAATTGGGCATCGTTTTGGATTAACATGTTGGTTCTCATCAGGAAAGCATTGGCAGCATTAAAAAAATGATTGTGCGATAGAAACAAGTATTTAGAGTGCAGGAATTGTAGAAAAGAAGAAGAAGAACCTTCATATCATTGGAATACACATATCCCCACCCTAGAGAAATAGTGGCAGATCACATGTTCAAGAGTGCAAAACTATTGAAATTATGGGGTGGCAGATAGAACTCTCAAAAACCAAAATACCTGTCCTGAGACAGAAAATCGATGAAATTTTATTGATGTTCAGAGATATATGCCGGAGGCAAAAAGAAGGTGTCAAAAGTAGACACTAAAACATCTACAACCATATTATTCGTTGCCAAATTGGTATGTTCCTGCTTCAAGAGGCTTGATCACAGTTTTTCTATTTGTCTTTAAACAGATTATAGGGTAACATCTATCATCTCATCAGGTGTTCAAAGGAACTTTCTTTAATTTAGGAAGTGTTTAAATTGCAGAAATTAATAGAATCGTGAAGGAATTTTTTGAGGTAAGTAAGCTATGCACCACAAGTTTCTTAGACGGATTTAAACTGCATTGATTTCTCATTTGGTAGGTCATCTAGGTATTATGATAGCAAAAAGAAGGTAAAGAATAAGAACGAAGTTGCTGTGGAGATTAGTATGCAATTACAATTATCATATCATAAGTATTCGGGTCAATAGATATCATAAGAGTTAGTTTTACTGTCAATGATCCAAGCTGACAGCATCCATAAGTACAATAGATAGAAGCAAAGACATCATGTCTACAAATAATCTACTCAAATGCTGTAATACTGAAGAAGGTCAACATGGAAAGTGATAATATTCAGCCACCAGATTCTATCGAGATCATTTGCAAAACTATCAACACGTAGAGATAGAGCATTCCAAATATACACAAATGTTTTGACAGTTGATACTGAATCTTGGCTGGATATCTAACTCCAGATTTAGCAGTACTAAAACTTCTTCAGTCATATTATCTGACAACAGGGTCTATGCCATTTTGACAATATCTATCAATAATCAATATCTAGAGTAAAACAAATGATGCGAAAATCTAGAGGCATAAGGCTGAAGGCATCATGCTACCAACGTTATATGGACAGCAGAAGTACCTTACTAGTCTCACGGAGGGAGGCAGACGCCCCCTTGCCCACATCTCCTATTTGGTCTGTCCCTGCAACCCCACAATTTTGCACCACATATACCCACCTTAGTTTGAACTAGTTTGTCTCAGCAAAATAACTAAACAAAAGCCCCCATAATTTGTGAGATAGTCCAGTCCAAGGTTCTCCATGCAATACTCCTTCACGTGACTATCTAAAAACCTTCCTTTTGTAAACAAAAACGGATACGAGATGACAGTTTCAGTATATAATTATCTAAACACCATGACGAACAGCTTTCTCAGCACCCTTTTCATGCATAATTTCAAGATCAAGGTGCACACAGTTTTGAAAGCATGGTAAACAGGCCAGATCACTATCAAGGTTGACTTGCTTCTATGTATGCTATAATTCTATACGTAGCAGTAATTTGAATAGTATTTTCACCTATATTCACTTATGTCTCCTATTGTAGAATATTTAATTAGTTTTCAGCTTGTTTGAAACACAATATTTCAAGTTGATAAATTTGCTACATCTCTTCAAGCATCAACCTTTTGATTAGATCTCATATATGACCGGTGTGCTAAATTTCTGATTCGAACATCAACAACAATAGCAAGCAACAAATTTATGCACTCGTGAATTACCCATATAACAATTGAGAAACATATGCCTTGCTCCTAAATTTACCAAATTTCAACCAAGAATGTCGTATGATTACCTGGTACCTAGATCTGTCATGTCATCATCATCCACAACAAACGGTCCAGAAAAGTCATAATCATCATAATCATCCTGATAAGAGAACCTACTGGAGCTTCTAGAGAATGATTTAGGTGGAGAGATATTTGATGAAGATTCCACCCTGGACATTCTTCCAGCCTCATCTTTCTCGAACAACTATGACAAACAAAAATAAGTATTTATTGAAGTACTTGGAGAGAAGGGAAAGGAATTTTACACGTAATAATCAGAATGCAGAATACCTTGTCAGCTGTTGAGCTGGTCTTGTACAGGCCAGAACGTACATCTGTCTTAACAACACTGGGTCGTGAGGCTTTCATGGGAGGTGAGGGAGGCAACATTTGATTGTTGGGTAATGAAGAGATAATGGACCGACTAGATGTAGGTATACTAACAGGGGCACTTTCAGACCGTAAAAGAGCTTTCGAGACGTGACTGCCAGGAATGTAGATGGGTGGTGATGCAGACGGAGATGGCGTAAATGTAGGTGAAGGCCAATACTCATCAAAACTTGGATTTTTCACATGAATTGCAGGTGTATTCTCAGATAATTGACGAGGTAAACTTGCCGGAGGAAGACGATGGGAACGCTGTTTTGATACTGAAGCATAAGATTCAGAATAAGTGGGTGAGGGTGATGGGTTTAGTGAAGGTGATGATGCTCTATACAAATCATAGCCCCAGCTATGGCGCCTCCCAAATGGAAATGAAGTCGGGGAAGTTTGAGACATGGGACGGGATGAGAACCTTCTGAGTGGCTCTGCCAATGGACTCCCAACATATTCTGGTATAAATTGTGGGGATGTTGGGATTGATGGCTCAGAACTCACATCCAACACTGATGAATGATACAGGACAGAGAGGCAAAGCCTACCGCAAGAAGTGTCAACCGGAGTAAACACAAACTGCTGTATATCTGCCTCTTCGATACGAGTAAATGGCTCAACAAAAGAAGAAACTCGGTGACCAAGATTATACCTTCGAATTTGAGCCGATGAAATAAGATCACGAAACAACTTATAAGCAGGCAAAAGCCTAACTGTCGCATACAAGGACCTCAATAACAATATCAATTTCTTATACAATGCATGAGAACTAGAACAAGTCGACCTTTTACTACCTGACGAAGCACCACCACTTCTCTTACTCTCATACTGTAAAACCCACCTCTCGATAACCTTTTCGCTCTTTGTGTCACTGCCAAATTCCTCATTGTTTGAACTATAATAGACCCTCTCTTTCCCAGAGAAATTCCTCACGTGTCCACTTTTTGGGGAAAAGTTTATCGGGTCATTGTTGACTGGCCTCTGAACCAAAATCACATCAATTATCATCGGTTCTAGATTGCTCTGCCGCCAAAAGTCAATGTTTTCTAACGCAGCAGGGCAATCCCTGAGAGAGAGATTAAACCACTTATCCCTTGGCCAAAAACTTGAGGATGAAGACGAGGACGAGGAGGGGGATGGGGACGATAAAACCTGTTCACAGCTATAATTACGGGAAGAAACATAAGGACACCGCGATTCAAGTATTATGTGAAGGCTTTTTGCGAACAATTCAGTAATTATCTGTTCCATTTTTGCGGACTCTGAATGAGTAGCCTCCTGATACGACGCCATGGATTCTGACAATAAAATAAACGCTAAATTTCGCAAAAGCAGTAAATTCGCATTACAGTGCAAGAAATTAAGAACAAAGAGGCCTAAAACCCACTCTTGATTAAAACGTAAGACAAATCAACAAATAAGCAAGACAAGTGCAGAAAATTGAGGTGTAGAAAAATCAATATTGCACAGTAAACTCAATGAATTGAACTTTTAAAATAACACAAGTAGTCAACACGTAGACAAACGCAAACATATATACTACAAGAAGAGTAAACTGACTGTTTCCAAGTGCTTGGGCTGCAAGGATTCAAAAGGGTATTCTTGCCTATATGTATCCGTATCGATATATATCACTCCATGTACGTATATCATACCGACTGTAACTATACTTACTCCAATATCGTGTTTCCAATGGAGAGAAGACGATGAGAAGGATTAATTGAGTAATCTTAGAGAGAGGAGGAAAGGATTTCTAGAGTTAGAGAGAGAGAAATAGAGGTACGGTGTAAAAGAGTTGGGAGTCTGGGAAGTGGGAACCAAGAGGATTGGTGATAGCAACTGTGCGACCCTTTTTCTGAATTTTTCTATTTTTTCAGACCTTTTGGGGAATTTCATTTTGATATCAGAGACTGTGTTCTATTATAACAAAACTTCTCACATAGGGATTGCAACTTGAGAGATAATAATTCAGAATTTATTTGAAGATTATAAATATTTGTTTTAAATGGAGAAATATAAAAATTTAAGCTATTGAGATTCTTGCAATTCAATAGTGAAAAGGGAATATATTTATTATGAAAATTTGAATGTAGTAAATATAAGTTTATTGAGAGTGATATTTTCTATGCCATTAAAAAGTTAGCCACCGAAGAATTGGAACATCGTTGTCGGCAAGAATGCTTGTGAACATGCATGGAATTTCAAAAACAGAAGTAAATGATAAGACCGTACATGTTACATATGCACTTGTTATATATGTATCGAAAGACCATCTGTCCAATTGGGACAAAAGGAATTGTCAGGATCCCATTTTTCTGAATTTAATTTTTTTACAATAAATAATAAAAAATACGTGGGGTGCTCAATTTCGTTTTATTTTTACATTTTAGGGCAAATTATAGAGACCTCTGAACTTTCTGTTAATTCCCCTCTTTTAAAAAATTATGCAAGTGCTTTTTATTTCATATTTTGAATACCGTATACATCCATCTATCATTAAATTGTCTCCAAACTACTCTCTATTTATAAAAATCATCTTCTTTATTACATCTTTAAATTTAGAGAGTAAATTATTTTATGTGACAATACGTAAAATGCTCTTGTGAACTTTTTTTTTTCTTTTTTTCTTTTTTGGCTCCTTTAACAATAAGATAATACATAAAATACTATTTTCAACTAACACTCTTAAATGAGATACGAGATTAAAAAAGCGTTAAAATTGTATTTTAGATATTACTTTATTGTTAAGTGAGCTATAACATGGAGAAAAATCTATAAGGGTACTTCAAGCATTATTTATACTAATTTGTGAAATAGAATTGGTCTAGAGGTATGTGTTATTTATATATTAAAACAAATGAGTTTTGTGTAATTTTTGAAAATAAAAGAGTGCCATTGAAATTGTCATTAACTTTAAGGGAGTTTGTCATAATTTGTCCTTATATTTTATTATATAAATGAGACGAATCAAATTGATTTCGAATATAATTTCAATTAAATTGGCATCAAAAAATATAAACGAAATCAGATTATTAATCTTTGACTTCTTATTTTAAACTTGCCATCTAATGATTTTTAATAAAAACGGTGCATTGTGAAGTTTACTATGAACTAGTCAGAGTTTTATAAGTGTCGTAAAGGTAATATTTTGCCATTTATGGACCATTTTGATTTAAATATAAGAGAAATACAAATCCTTGAAAATAAATGTTAATTATTATACATACACGTAAACAATGAAATGTATACTTCGGTGTGAGTATTAGAATTATAATAAATGCATAAATGAAGATGAATGACAAATACGATACGTGAATTAACTTAAACGTTAATTAATTTAGAATTCATACCAACGAATATATATCTCACAATGAATGTTAAATCATTTATATTAAATAAATATAATTGAATTTTCAATTAGGTGAAATAGATGTTAATTAGCAATAATAGACGTGAATAATAAACGGCATCGTTGAATTTGAATTTTTAATTAATATTAATTAAATGAATGTTAATATTAATCAATTGAGAATTAATAACATGGGAATAGACGTGAATGTAAATGTGAAATTCTAATTAATATTAATTAAATGAATGTAAATGTTAATTAATTGAGAATTAATTATAGTACTTGTTACCGTTTGTAAATTAAATACATATTGAAAAATGAAAAATAAGATATTATTGAAATAATTGAATTGTAGTAGGGTTATAATCATCCAAAAAATAATTTTCACATGATATGATATTTAATATATTATAGATATTTCAAAATTGTACCATAAGGTCCATAATCTAACCGTCAAGTGAAGAACGTAGTACCAACATAAGTCAAAAAAGGTAATATCTTAATTGAAATTAAAAGATAAAAATCTGATTAGTAATTGTATTTCTAGCAACTATTTTTAGCTTGTTATTTTGAACTCGTCATTCCGAAATATATGTTGCAAAGTTTGCCATGATACTTCAAACGTATCAAAAATTAATCATGACGAGCCAAAATAAGTTGAAATATAAAAAACAGGATTATTAAACCCTTTTTTAACAACCATATTTAGCTTGTTATTTTGAACTCGTTATCAGTACTAAAGATGCATTTCAAAGATGTCGAACAAATTTGAGACTCCAAAAAGAAAAAAGGCTCTGCTACTTCGTCCAGGACAATTGTAATTAGCCCTCGAAATAACTGAAGTGAACAAGTCCTTATATATTAGTAAATGTTGGAGAGAAGCCAGACTAAACTGAAGAAGAATAAGGGCTTGTTCTCTTTACCGTTTTCAAGCCGTTTTCTGTTTTCGATTTTTCAAAACAGTGAAAATGCTTTCTATTTCCTATTTTCGAAAACGCGTTTTTGAAAACAAGTTGAAAATTTATAAAGAAAATCCAAAACGACAAATTTGTGTTTTCAATTATAATCAAGCCAAATTTTTCAAAACGTGTTTTGAGTGTTTCAATCACCGCCAATCACCACCAAGAGAGAGGGGGGAGGGGAAAGTAAATGGGTTTTCCATTTTTTTTTATTTTTGAAATAATTTTTTAAAATGTCAAAAAGAACACATTTTTAATAATCTCAAAATTGACACTCAAAATACAAAACTCAAAACATAAAATTGAAATACAAAAAGAATAGTCCCTGAGTTTCTAACCTAAAAATGTATAGGAGAATTGCGTGCTAGAGATTCGAGTTGTCAACCAAATTACGAAAGGCGTTTGAGGTGGTCGACGAGCCCTTTATTACTAGTTAGGAAGGGGATTTTGAATCAATTATATCTCCAACCCATTCTTTGCCATTGAAGGCAGTTGAACCACAATTAATAGCTATATGCCCAGTGAGGTAATTACATGCAAAATGATCAACTAAGGTGCAAAGAAGAGAATACAGGAAGAAGAAGAAGAAAATGCTGGCCGTTGAAAATCGATTAAGGTACAAGTTTTTGTTTGTATTTTGGTGTAAACAAGAGGAGGTACAAAAGGTTTTGGTAAGAGGATTAGATACACAATCCGTGGGATGTATTAATTTAAGTTATAATTTAAGCATCCCCAACTAAGTATATGTTTATTCTCGAAGCTTTTTACCATTGCAAACTCAGTATGATTCACGAGCAAAGATAAAAATAACAATCAATACTTTCGACCCCTGAGCCCGTCTTTAGAGAGTAATTGAATAAGTTTTAAAAAGATTAGGGAACTTCAAACATATAAGTCTTGCTTTCGTATTACATCTATTGGCACGTGCTATCTGTATTTTATACATTCATTTTGTCATCGAGGAAAAAAAATGTTGAGAAATCTAACAAATGAAATTTGTAAATTTAATAGGGCGAACCTCAACAAAATTTGCCCAAATATAAATAATTAACTTTGTAAGTCATGATAAATTTTTATAGGAAGCATGATAGCCTGATAGGAGTGATTTCAACATCCAATCCGGGATGTAAAAGTGAATATTTGATAGTTAATTTGATAGAATTCCTACTTAATTTGATTAAGTATAGATTGTTGTAAGATAGTTCAAGTTTGGATGGTTTTTTATTAAAATAAGAGAAAACATGTCTCGGAGGTGCAAAATAAAGAATTCTAAAGGTCGATAACTAGACTGCAAATTTTAAAAAGTTAATTCGGACCAAAGAATGATGATTGAAGATACGTGGAGTAAAATGGATGAAATTAGCAGATAAAGGGCTAAAGTTGTATATAAAAATGACTCAATCTGAACGAAATAAGAATTTTGGGGACCAAAATGAAGAAGACCAGAAGTTGAGGCGTGCGATCACAGGCTGAGAGGCGCTGCGTTCGCAGCACCATGTTTGGCTGTAACAACAGGCAAACTTGTTCTACATTGTGATTGTATATGATTATATGGTGTGATTGCATGGAGGATTTTCGTGACAGAATTATAGTTTTCCTTTTGGGATTCAACTACTACTAGAAAGAAATTAGGTTAATTTTATTTTTTTTTTACCTAATTTTGGGGTCTACAAATATCAGCCTTCATTCAATAATTAAAAGGAACTCTTGTAGCATACAGTACACTATTACGTGCAAAGGATAGAACCAAATATCATTTTTCAGAGAGGAATTAAGAAGCAAGATATAAGGAATCAATTCTTGAAGATTATTTCTTTTTTTTTTTTTTGGCAAAAAAGAAGAATGTGCAACTCGAGACTGTTCAAGGAGGTTTGAATAGATTCAAGAATTCGTGACTTTTCCTCTTTTTCTTCATATTTCTAAATTTCGGTCGATATCTTATCATTCCAACACGATTTCGTGTAACTTTGTAATGCTTGGCTAAA